GGACAGGCCACAGAGAGGCCGCGGCAGGCCTGCCGGCTGCCGAGGAGGGTTTGAGGGCGGGGCCTGTGGGTCTCTAACGTCGCCTTCGGAAGCCCATAGAACAAGCTTTCTGGGCCAAGCTGCGGCCTGCAGGAACGTTTGCGGGCGGGGCCGGTGGGCGAAGAGAAGGGGCAGGCTTCGGACAGGCCACAGAGAGGCCGCGGCAGGCCTGCCGGCTGCCGAGGAGGGTTTGAGGGCGGGGCCTGTGGGTCTCTATAACGTCGCCTTCGGAAGCCCATACTGGGATGTCCCCTGAAGATCTTATTGTTTATCAGGAGTTACTAAAGAAGTTATAAAGTTTACAGGACTTAGCTAAGTGGTTAAGTTGTGAGTGAAAAGCTAGCAACTTAGCAGGTTTGCTAACTGGTTAGCTAACTGGTTAACAGTTTGTATATAAAAATGCACCTCGGTTAGGTTTTTGTGTTTTCTTAATCAAAAAATATACATTTACATAAATATTCACAGTGTCTTTGTATATTCTCCCTGATAGACATGCTTGTGAATTGACTGTTTTCTGCTTCAAAAAGCAAAAACAATTTTGTGTGTTCATGTGAAAACACATTCAAGTGTGCCTTGGAATGTGAATCCATTGTCCAGGCTTTGTTGTTTCCAAACGCAAACAGAGTTAATCTCTATTTGTGTTAGTGTAAAATATTTTGGTTTTGGTTCCAGGTGTAGTATGTATAGGAGGATGGACATGGGTGCATTCTCCATAAGATTGGATCACTCATGCAACCCCAAATCCAGAGCAACACATAGGGCAATGGCCTTTGCCATGTACCCTTTCTCTACAGAGTTAATATCTAGTTAGTGTAAAATATTTTGGTTTTGGTTCCAGGTGTAGTATGTATAGGAGGATGGACATGGGTGTAAGATTGGATCACTCATTGTGCTATTTGGAGAACACTCTGCTGGACTCTAAACTTGGTGAGTGCCAGTGGGTTTGACCACCAAATGAATCCAGTACAGCATGGGGCATAGCTATATTAGCCCAAATGGACTTCCAAATGGCACCTCCATGAATTCCCAAATGGCACTTTGGTTGAGCCTGCCCACTCTATGATAGATCCAGGACTTGATCCTTTCATTGGGCCTATCAGGCATCTGGCATTGGATCATCTGCAGATCCCCTCAAGAGCTGTTCTCCAGGTTTTATGTCAAAGTAGCTAGTCCAACAAATGTCCACTGATTGATATGGACAACCTTAAACACCAAAACTCTTGATCATGCAAACGAACATATCTTACCATGAATTAGCATGAACCTATCTTTGGCCTGGTTGGCCCTTGAATGGGACATGAAAATCACCCACATGAAGCCATCAGGCTTGCAACAAGTAGTCCATGACATGTTCTGTGAAATATAGGTAAACTTTAAGCATCAAAATTCTTGATCATGCAAATGAACACACCTTACCATGAAGTAGCATGACTCTATCTTTGGCTGATTGGCCCTTGCATGGGGCATGAGAACCACCCACATGAAGCCATCAGGCTTGCAACAAGTAGTCAATGACATGCTATGTGAAATCTATGTGCCATGAGGACACTGGCAAGAACACATGCAAGAACACACTAGTACCACCAGGATGTTTTGAAACCTGCTGGAATGCGCTCTTTTGCTCACTTCATTTGAAGTGGCACAAGGATTCTGAAGTCCTTGTTTTCAAAGTGTGAATGTGCAGTGGTGCAAGCCAAGGAAGAAGTATGCACAAACTTTGCAATCTCATTCTGTCTAACAGTAGCAAAGCATCCAGTCTTGTCCACTTGAAGGACTTCGAGCATGGAAACCAAAGAGTAAGCAATGTTGTCAATGTCCACATGCATCCAGACTTGGCAAACTTGCAGGCTGTTGGTCGAACTGTGAAGGAAACAAAAATCACCTTTGCTGCAAATACCTGCTGGTTGGAGGTGTGCCTGTGAAGAGCTGTGCACAATGGTGTCAGCAGGCAACTCAAAGGCATTTAACACAATGGCTTTCAAAGCCTTGCTTGCAGCACCTTTGTTGACAAGCCTTGCCTTCTCTGAAAAGAGGTTTGGTTCCTTCAGCTTGGCAAGGTCATGGCAAATAAGCTCTGAAAGTACACTTTTTTCAAAGGTCAAAGTGTTGCTGATCGAGGTTGCATATCCTTAACAGGGTAAGGGTCAATGAAACCTGTGGTGGATAATAATGACATTGGTTGAACATTGAACCAACACAGTAAACACTAAACACTTTCTTGAAATAGCCAAGCATCGCTTTACAACCTTATGTTTTCTTTCTTGGACAAAACAGCTGGGAAGTTGACCATGTTTTTGGAGATGAGCGCCAAAGTGAAGACACCAATGAAATTTGGTATGCATATTCTCTTTGAAACCACATGATATGCAAAGAGAAAGGAATGTCGTCACAGCTCTGTCAACCATAGCAGGGGTAATCTTTCCCTTGGGTACCAGCTGGATCAGGTCAATGATGTCTGCAAGTGCAAAGAACACCTGACACTTGTCCTTTGTAGATTGCTCTGCATTTGGGATGACAATCTGCATAAGAAAGTATCCAAAAACACCCAAAAGACCTATAGCTTCAGATGCAGTGCATTTGAAAGTGTTTGCCTTCGCATTTGCAACCTGTCTTTTTTTGGAGAACAAAGATGCCAAAGGTGTTGTCATTGACTTTGGCAGGACCCAGGTTCTGAGGCATTGCTCAATGGTGGGGTACACATTGCCAAACATACCATCAAGCTCCACCAGCAACAAATGCATAATTGTTTGGAAAATGCCTGTGACCAAGAAACAATGCATCCAGTCATGTATGAACTGAGAAATTGGGAGAACATCTTGGGACAAGCTCCTGCAGTGGAGTAAACCATGGATGCTGTAGTTGAATCCAACAGCTTGCTGCCACAAAGCAAAGTCTCCTTTGTTAAGAGTTGCCTTTTTCTCTTCAAGTCTTGATATTGTTTCAGCAATGTCTTGGTCAGTGGATTGCTGAATCCTTGTGAGGTCCCATTCATCTGCCACTAGGGTGTTGGATCCATCTTCTTGTAGTAATCCAGACTTTGAAGTAACCAAATTTCTGCAAAATATGCAGAACTTTGTTCCTGCATCACCTTTGAGATTGAATATGTACTTGTGCGCAGATCCATCTTGTAAGAATGCACCCAGTGTATAAAACATTCTAATTGTACACCCTCCCTGATCTTTCAACAAGAACCCTGCTTCTTTGGGATTGCAGGAATCTGGGCGCAGGATGCAATTCAAAATAACTTGTGTCACTTGGGACATCCCAGACTCAAGTTCTCCAACAAAACTTGATCTACAAGCCATGATGCAAAACCATGCCTCTTCTTTGCTGAGGGCAACTGGACCAAATTCCATAAAGGAAATGTATATGCATTGGACTTTTCTGCTAACATTTGCACTTAACACATTTCCTGGTACCACCTCATCACTGTAATATATGATTCTCCAGGGCTTTTGTGCAGTGCATGGGTGTTGGGTCAGTGTCCTGGCCACCAACTCTTGCAGTCCACCACCTTGTTGATATGCAGCATGTAACATTGTGAGAAAGTTCACAAACAATAATGGCTTCTCTGCACCATCCTTGCAAACAACATTGGTAGTACTCAGCATAGGTCCATATGCATTGTAACCTTTCACTGTGTGGTCTCTGGCTTCAGCCACATGTTTCCTGGAATGTAGGTCAGGAAGACCATTGAGTTCAATGTCTTGAATCACTTCTGAGAGCGCATTTGCTGTGATCTGAGGGTTGTTTCTCCTCAGGCCTTCCAACCTTCTAAGTTTGGAAGCCCTAGCATCCATGGCATAGAATGCTGAATGTGTAGCCTAAAACATGGTATGCCATGATAAGGTGGTGCATGTAACACTTGAAAATGCCAACACTTCAAAAGACACACATGATGTGAGGCCTTGTGGGCCTATAGCATATGATGATGAATTTGACATGAACACAAACCACAAGCTTGAAGGCTTAGCACATGATTGCATGTGCATGTTGTGAACAGGATGACACAGCAACAAACTGTGAGCCACCAACACTAAGTGCAAACTTAAACCAATTGACATACACTGCTTGACAAAAGTGCTTGCAGTTCTAGTCATAGAGTTATATTTGGTAAGCTTTTGATATTGGTCCCACACATGAAAACATTATGAATGACACATGCAATGCCTTGCAAACACATAGTGAAGGATTGCATGAAAGAAGCTTATGCTTGATAAATGATGTAGCCATGCGCATGAGCATGAAAGCTCTAGCAGTCAGTCTTTTCACAGCAAATCATGTGTACTGTCTTTGTAATCACTACACAGGCCTTGTTAGCCCAAACTTCATGTACAAACTGTTGAGCACAGTATCTACATCTCTGTCTTCAAGTCTGTAAGTTGTTTGGAGTCTAAGGAGATAGTCTTCAGCAGAAAGCCTCAGATTGAGAAAACTAAATACACAGTAGGCACCCCTTACCATTTGTGAAACAACATTGCCACAACAAAACGGTATATCCAAAATCTGTTTAATTTGTTCATCCATGAACCAATCTGTCCACCCTGAACTGTAAAGAGATACTCTCCACATCCTTCTTCCATATGCCACCCAATACTCCATCAGAAACATGCGCCATGAGTCTCTCCAGTGCCTCTGAAAGTTTGCCAACACTTGGGCAGGGTCAGCTGGCTCTTCGGCCATGAGTGCAATAAGTTCAGGCAGAAGTGGCATTTTGAACAATATAGGTGCTGCATTCCATGACATGGACATGTACCTTTTGATGTGCGTAATGCATTGTACATGCCATGCAAAAGCAACAGGCTTGTCAGGCACCAGTTGGAAAAGCTTAGCATGAAAGCTGCAAAGCCACTGCAAAAACAAAGTCTCCTCATACAAGCTAGTCAGCTATCACAAAAGCCATAAAGCCATGAGACATGTTGCATGAGAGATGCTGCGCACATGTTTTCCCAACACATCACTCCAAGCTATTGATGTGACTCTATACCCCTTTGCAAACTTGGCAAAATTGATGTGAATCTACTCCTTTGGAAACTTAGCCAAATAGGCAGCCTTTGCCTCATGCAGGGCCAGGCTACCAAAAGCTTTGGCCTCCTCTTCACTTGCACCAGCATCAGCAGCCCTTTGTCTGGCCAGCTTGTAGTGCTTGGAGGTCCAGCTATTCAATTTGCCCTCCCACCTGTCCTCAGGCTCCCCTGAAGTATAGGACATCCCAGCTGTCACAGTCTTTTCCATTTCAGCAGCAGTCCTTTTGCTTTGCCTGCCACCAGCTTTGGCTTTAGCTTTGGCTGCAGGAGTGATCTCTGACTGCTTGGGGTCTTCTGCTTTGGTGGCATCAGGTGAAGTATGCTTTGCTTTGGCCTTTGCTTTG